TTATCATGATTTTGAAAGGAGGACAATACCGAGTGCCATTTCAAATGTCGGTGCTGAGTCTGTCAGTGGCTGATTTGCTCGCTTGCCTGTCAGTTGCCTTCTGCTCTGCTTTGGTACTGATATTGAATCTACCTTACCCATATCCTGAAATGCTGATTAATGTTTTCATGCGCACAATCATATTCAGCTCAATATCAAGTCAACTGCATGTAATATTCATAACAATTCAGCGACTGATGGCGGTCCTGCTCCCATTCAGCTGCAAACGTATCTTGACGCCAGTTCGTTGTTCTTTGTTATTGGCGTTGATCTGGATTATATCATCAGCTGTTACTGGTCTAACTAAAGAGAATTTCTATATAATAGTATTTATATTAGTCACTGGCGTTGTGATTGCCTTTTCGTATGCTTTCATAGTGTATCGCATCCGAAATCGTCCCGTTGTGGTCACTCGAGATTCAAGCGCGGGTTCAAATGTTACTCTTTATTCAGGAATACTTTTCCTCCTATTTGTTGTTTGCTTTTTTCCATTTGTTATCTTCCACATAATTTACGGTACAAAAAAGAGACACAATCGTCCATGGATAGCAGTATCTTATTTATATTGGCTTAATACTGTAACAAACCCGATTGTATATTTTCTGTTGAAGTTCATTAAAGGTGGTGCTAAGTGTCTTAAGAGCAACAGAACCACAAATTGTATACAAGGTGCTTGTTGACAGCAAAACATCGTCAAATTATGCTGGGATGTGATGTCTTCTAGAATAACGATACAATAATTGCCAAAAGTACTTGGAACACCCAGCAATTTGCGTTGTGCTTTTATATTATTTCAATTCTTTTCTCGGATACTCCTATTTTCGCACCCCCTACCCCCCTAAACAATGTTGAAAATTTAGAAAAATATCATAGGAGTCGCAGAAAAAAACATTCTTCCTAATCCCGTAAGTCTTTTTGTAGTAAACCAACATTAATCAAAGGGGGGGGAGGGTTATGGCTGATTTTCACCTTGGAAACTGACGTTAGTGTACCAAGACTTTTGACAAGCATTGTACATTTAATTATAGCATATGAATTCCTTAAAGGGTCGCTTGGCAAGTGCACGGCCCTGCCCCATATGCATATACAAAGCATCCTAATTGCTGCTTGCTGTAATAAAATTATTTTTTTTTTGATTTTATCATTGCTTAAATAACGTTGATTGAGAGAGATGAATTATATATTTCTACGTTGATTGAGAGAGATTGAGAGAGAATGTTAAATATTTGATAAATTGTAACGTATTTAGCATGGATGCATTTAAGGGCTTTAGGCAAACAACAGTAACGGACGCAGATATGACCCTTGCAGGACTCAGCACCAGCATCATCATGGATGTTTCCTCTTAAAGACGAAAGTAGCGCTCCCTTTTACATTGAATGCTAAAATTTCAACTGATTTCAGTTGGTCATTTCTAAAACTTGTTGAAACTTTCTCCGTTGAAATTTCATGCTTTGGCCATCAATGAACCAAAGTCGTCAGATTCATGTTAGCATTATGTCTTCAAAAAATTTCAAAATAATGTATAAAGTTCACATATACATCAATAAATTCACAACCTTCAGAAAATGTCTTCGAGTCGTTGTTTCACCTTTCATGTAGATAAATTAATATTTGTAAATTTGATTTCCTGTTCAATGTCACTTGAACTATTCACTGGCTTTACTAACATAACATTTGATAAACCTGAAATATAATCATTTTCTGTTTTTATTTCTAAATACAATCCACCTTGAGTGACAGTAACATCTTAAATTTCAAAGATATTTTTTAACATTGGTAAACCAGGTCGTCAGCTAACACGTTTTAGTCAAGCATCATGAAGAGGTTGTTCTGACGTACCTAATCAACTCTAATGGAATATCAACCGTAAGATACTGTCATTCAGTTTTATCAAAGTTTTGGATTAGAAAACGATTATGTAAATACAATGCACATGATATGATATAGCAGAGTAATATAGCTAATTTCTTGCAGAGTATTACTTTTTCCTGAAAAAGCTGTAATAATCTTAATAATTATCAAACTCCACATCCGATGTCAGACCTTTTTTGTAATAGATCTTCATTATTTCCACATCAATATTTTAACACAAATTGACTTTCCGTTAGTAAAGTGACCTCTGTAGATTGATATTTAAACATTGATCAACTATAAAGTGTAACCTCGCCACTATCAAGCAATGGAATTTTAAATGGTTCAAAGTATCATTGATGATTCACTTTCAGCAAATGAAAAGAGCCGGAACCATGACATAAATGTTGTTTTTGATTACGAACCTTCATCAGTTTTGGCCAAAACCATTCTACAAACAAGGTCGGTAGGTTGAGGGGTTTTGCACCACTCCTGGAGCGCTCGTGATATAAAAAATCTCATTTTCTTGAATTGAGCAACAGATCCATTCAACATGCTCAACATAAGCAACATTCTCTCATTATGATTAAAGAGAACAACATATTCACTCATCCTTACAAAACATGAGTAAAACATTCCCTCAAACTTGTTTTATTATTAAGCTATCCTTTATTATCTTTGAGTATAGGGCTACACCCAATAGGTTGAATATATGTAGAAAATGAATATCATATTTGAATAATAAGATCTTTAAACAAGGGAAACACTCAGCCTTTCCAAAAAACCAAGATAAGTTGTATCAATGTACAAGAGACTCGATGAGCATCAACATCTTGCACATACCGTAAATCCTCGAATAAGCCACCGGAGGCTTATTTGCAAAAATGAATTTTTGGGTGGGGGCTTTTTCGAGGGGGGCTTATTCGAGGGGGGGGGCTTATTCGAGGGAGGGCTTATTCGAGGGAGGGCTTATTCGAGGGAGGGCTTATTCGAGGGAGGGCTTATTCGAGGGGGGCTTATTTTAAAGTTTAGTATTTTTTCTAAAGGTCGACATAAAAACGACATTATTTTTTTAACAAATCTAACAAAGAACTAACAAAGATTATAATTTTTTATCATCACAAAAGTCGCTTTTTTGCTTTTTGGTCTCCAGTCAAAGGAAGTAATACTGTAAAGCTATTGTCCTGCGGGGGCTTTCTTGAAATAAGATATTATTCTGCAATTATGCTTACCTCGAATAAGCGCCCATGGGGTTTTATGCGAGAGGGGGGCTTGTTTGCAAAAATGATTTTTTAGGTGGGGGATTATTTGAGGGAGGGGGCTTATTTGAGCGTGGGGGCTTATTCGAGGATTTACAGTATAGTATTTTTCATCTAATTTGGGCATTATCCTCAATTTGTTTTATCACAACACCCCTTTAACGGTAGAAAATGCTTTGAGCCAAATTTTTCCTCTTGGCCTACTCTAAAAATATAATCTAAAGCAAAAATGTCAAAATTATCTCTCAGCCAGGCAATAAAAAGCTTGTACGCTAACTGCAAATTCCTTATGGAATTTTCACAGACCGTTTGAAGTCCAATCTCAATTATTACTATTCTTGAAATAAATTAAAAGTCGAAATATATCTATGCACATTGCCAAATTCATTTTTAGAAAAAATATCATTCTTTACTTTATCATTACACAAAAATCAAGTGTATCCCTAATAGCGAAGATAACTGTAAAGTTTTGACATAACTGCATGTTAAACAAATCTTGTAAGATATACAGGAATCTTGCATGGTGGCAGATGAACGGCACCGTGATAAATTTGCAATTCGTACTAACTTTTAAGTTCACAATCTTTGCCACGAAGCATAACACGAAGAACAACGGCAGTTTTTTTCTAAATTTATCAAAGACTAGATTTTTCAAAAAAAAATTTAGGTTATCTTGCAACAAATTTTACACGTTTATTTTTTGTGGATAGTGGTAAAAACGTGCAAAACGGGCCTAAATCTAGCTGCGAGACACGTTTGTTGTCAAATTCTTGAACTCTGATTGGTCAATATGGTATAGAGAATTTGAATGTAATCAGAACTCTTAGCCAATCAAAGATTTTGAACCTATGCTCACGAAGAAATAAATTAGCAGCCCAATAGTAGTCTTTTGGCTTAAGCACCCAGTTGTCATCTCAAGAGCGAGCTACAGGACCATTTTTGCTCGCTAAATCGAACTAGAAATAATTCCTGCACTAATGTACGTCATTGAAAACTAGAAACCTTATATCATTCAAAAAATGAGCAGCAAAAATATTGATTCCTTAGCAAAACCAAGCCGTTGGGGTCTTGTAAATTTAAAAAAGCATCTAAACATTGGGAATACCTTGCTTGGAAATTAAATCTAGCTGCTTTCTCGGTAACGTGCTAAAGTCAACTTTCACCTGGTATAAATCTAGAAAGAATACCATTATAATTTATCACCAAAACTTTGATGTAAGACTAGTGCAAGGGGAATCGCTTGCAACTTTATCTGGCTGCATCAAGGCAACGAATCAATTGCATAGTAAGGAGAACTATTACCGACACAACAAAGCCTAAAACCTATAAATAACGCTATAATTCGAATTAGTTTTGTTTAAATTGCAAAAATTGAAATTGCCAAGCATTAACACCTCCATTAAACAAAACTTGTTTAATGCTGAGTACTTAAAAAAAACTTGTTTAGTACTGTTTACTTTAGAGCAAGAAAAATTTGGAAGAAGAAACGGCTACTCAACGGCAAAAAACGTGGCCCGAGCGGCTTAAGTCATAAAAATTTAATGAAAATTAAGCCTTACCATTATACCTATCAATGTTAGGAAAACAAAAAACGGTATTGCTAAAGAGCCATAAACAGTTGCTACAAAAGAAATTTGTCGGCGAAATGATAGTGAAACTGTAGGCAGAAGTAGCTGCAATTACATTATGAGCGAGAATATCCACGGAGAAAGCCGGAGCACGAGGTAAAATTTTCCACGAAGAAATTTTCTTCCAACGAACCTTGGACGCTCGAATTCGTACCTATATTGGGAGAAATTGCCAAGCAACAAACACCAAAGCATTTTCTAGAACCGCGTGTAAACATACCTGGAGAGTCACCATTTGATTCATCTGATAGCTAGCTCTCACTCAGTCGTCACGAACAAAATAAACATCAAATTTGCAGGTTATGCCAATACCTTGAATACTCTTAGATTAACCAAGGAAATGAAAACGCGACCATCAAAACACCTTCTTACCCTAGTTAAACAAATCAGATCCTCATGAGGCCAAACGACTGCCCAGCATTGCACATAAACAAGTAGAGCGGCTACAAAATACACGAGAAAGTGTGGCACAATAGACCATAAGAAATTGCGAACAATAACAAACTCAAGCGAGTAAGTTAAAGCTCAACAGCCCATCGTGAAATTAAGTTTCAGATAACATTGAAATGAAATATAAACGTAGAAAAGATTATAGGAGACTCGAGTCCCGGTTCACATTTATCCGGATTCATTTTATATCAGAATACACGCCATTTTTGGCATCTACGAAACATTAGGAAAATCCTATATTACACCACTCAGGGTTGGTCTCAAAAAACTAAACTGTCACAAATTCAAACACAATTTTACGGATACAATTAACCCTATGTGATGAACAATTGATGGCATTGAGGATACTGAGCACTTTTTTTGCACTGCCCCTTTTCTGACGAGGAACTAAATGATCTTCTCGCTGGAGAATTTGCACTACTGCGACCATTTGTATATACCGATCCTTCAAGCAATGTTTTAATTGAGCCATTACTGTATGGTGATAAAGACTCACCCAATGACATGAATACAAATATATTACAATTAAAGTTGAAGTTTATCCGTAAAACTGGTCGACTTGCTTAAGATCGTCCCTACCTTGCCAATGCCACCATCTTATATTTTATACTGTTTTAGTACACATGTATGTAGTTGAATGTATGTTTAAGTTTCACGAAACCTTTCTCTTCTTTCTTATGTTTGATGGCCTCGGGGTAGACATAGTACTTTGCTCTTCGGGGTATCGTCCTTAGTAGTGTTGTAGAGTAATTTCCTGTATGTAAAGTATTTTGTGATATATATTTGAAAATTGTTTGTTGGATTATATATATAAAAAACGTCATAAAAGAAAGGCGTTTATTTATCAAAATAAAAACGCTTGAATCCGATTCGCTTTATCTCGTTTTTCCGCAGAGACAAATCACTCCGCTTTGAATGTAGGATGGGACCATACCGGACCACGTTTGAGCTCATGAATCCAGAACCGTTCTTCACCGGATCCCTTGTATAGAAAATGCAGTTTCGTTTACAGAAACACTGGGCAACCTCTTTTAATGCCTACAAAGCTATACCAACATACCAACTTAAGAACCGATCTACCGACAAGGTATTCGCACAGCTGCAAACTGGTGAAGACTCCAACAGAAAATCAATTTCATTTTTCAGGAGAGATGGAAAATTGTTGAGATACCGCTATATATGTATAAAAAATGCAATTTTTAAAATTATTAATCACTTTAAATCAATTATGAAAAAACGATGCCTTTAAGATTTGAACAAAACTGCCGCTCGTATAATTATTTAATTTGATCACGCGAAAAATCGATTTCATATATACGCCAAACGCTCGTTAATTTTATGATTGATTTCAATTAAGAAAAGAATTGAACTTCCTTTGATTACGCGGAACTGCCTTTATGTTGACGATTTAATTCAATCAAGAGAAAAACCTTCAATTTTTTCCACTTAAGCAGATTTCTTTTCCTTTAATGATTTGATTGATAGAAGAAAACCTTTTTTTTCTATTTACCGAAAACTTTCATTTTTTCTTAATACGTCATCAGCAGTATCAAAGGAGCGCAGATTACCACCGACAGAGAAGCCAGCAAATCAGCCACTGGAAGACTGAGCACGACATTTGAAACGGCACCCGGGGCTACTTTCCTTTCAAAATAAAGATCATTTCCAGGGCATTTAAGGCAAGGAAAGATATGCCTAGATTTCTGTTTTGTTTAGGAGACGAGCCAGCCTTTGTTCAAAGGTTCGTTTGCATTCAAAATATTGCGTCATATGCACACGAGCAGTTAAAATCCACGACGTTATTTTCAAATCGCTTAATCAAAACAAGAAGAAATTTTAGAGGAAAATGGGTTTTAGATAAAAATGATAATGGAATACCATCATCAAAAGTTGTAAAGCACTATGAGAAGGAACTTTCTTCTGCAAAACTTTGGCCTAATGCCCAAGTGAATAGAACGATATCCCTGGACAATGGGAATTTAGACTCGTATCCCAAACACCATTCTCAAAATTTTGTCAGAAGAACTTTAGAAACAGAATGCACGGAGTCAGTTAACTCAATTTGAAAATATCCGAGCATTACTTGTTTGGTCATTGCTTCTTGAAAACTGGCATGGTCACATGCGAGTAAACCCCATGCCATTTTTTGAAGAAATTAACTTTCTCTCATTTGATTGTGCTTTAGAGATTTCGTAATTGCAAACGATTCAGACTAATAAGTCTTGATTGCTGCCAATTCAAAGTACCTTGCTATTAATTCCTTCGAGCTGGTTGATAGAATTGACTTCTTGGTGAGTCTATTCATCACTGTAGCTTCTCGAAGCCAGTCATCTTTGTTGTCAAATTTCTAAAAGTCTCGCTTCTTGCTCCTAGCAGCTTAAAAGCAACATATTAATTCAATTCACTAGGAATTCTTCCCTCGAACAGCAGAGCTGTGTGTAATGCATTTGCAGGGAAACAGCTATGTTCGCTCGCCATCTTTTTGGCCCAAGCTTAATGTGATATGTTTCATCATGGAGAATGTATACCCATCACACATGCTTGTCGTAAAGTTCTAAAGGAATGAATCGACAGTGTGGCCTAATGCAAAAGAAGGCACATCTGTCTACTTTGTACATGGACTCAATATGATCTTAAAGACAGTGCTGGCAATGGAGTAAAAAATTGAGCTCCTACTTGTTGAATCTATTCAGTCTTCTATTAACTAGAAAGTCAGAACATAAAAGCAATTTTGTTTACACATCACGTTTTTTACTTGATAGGTTACTGTTAAAATTCCTTCGAGTCATAGTTTCCTTCAGGATGCAGCTGTTGAAGCTACCATTAAAATAAAAGCGACAAGCTCCAAGTTTCAGTTAGCAGGTTAGCAGGTGGAACGTGGTTTCCAGTACATCATCAGCGACTTAGTCTGATTGCTGTAGGTTCCAAAGCCGGTACATCTTCTTTACTTGTAGGCATTGACACAAATAGCGAACAGCTTTTGGTGCAGGTAGCAAATGGATCTTTACTACAAAACAGTCTTCCCAACAATTGGTGGTGTTGGTGTCATTGCAAACACACTTCTTATCGCTGCCCTCTACAAAGAACGCAAGCTAAAACGGCCATTCCAGATGACGATTTTAAGTCTTACTGTAGCTGATTTGTTGAACTGCATCTGGCTTACAGTTGCCGGTGCAACATTTCCTCCAGTGACACATAAAATGTTTCCAGTTTATCACCAAATATTCTCGAGTTTGATCGCCTTCTCACTCATAACATCATTGCTCCATTTGATGTTTGTCTCCTTGCAGCGTTTGGTTGCAGTGCTGTTACCTTTCAGAAGTAAACACCTCATCACCTCACAGCGCTGTGCTATTGTACTTGCTCTAATCTGGCTTACCATTGCAATCATTGTAGCGTTGTTCTATGTGGTGAGTTTGAAGGAAACAATGTTCATTCTTGTTCCAGTTTTGACATTTATTTGTGCTCTATTGCTTATTTTATCTTACAGTTTTATCTGCTATCGGTTATGGCTGAGAAAACGACTTGCATCGACAGCCAGTTCGTCCCAATCAGAGTACATTCTTCTTTATTCCATACTGGTTACTGTCTTATTCATCATTTGCACTTTCCCCGCTAATGTTACCATAATGTACTATAGAAAATTGCATGATAACTTGAAATACGTCGCATTTTTACAATGGCTGAATCCAGTGATGGACCCTTCGATTTACTTTTTATCCAAGAAGATAAGGCGAAGAAAGACGAAACAAGTTGAACACAAAAATCAAAGTGAAGAAAAACCAACACCCCAAGGCCAGAACACAAGTGAAACTACATCTTTTTAAAAGTGTTTCAGTGCTCAGCTTTCGATTTTTTAAATTTTGTAACATAGCTTTCTCCCCACTTTTGACAAATGCTATTTTCAGCGGCTAGATGTTGTCAAGTGGATCCCTTTCGGAAAGGCAATCAATAAGCAATTACGCTTTTCAAGAGAAGGTTTGCGGTTTCAGCTATTTCGTCCGGGAGATGTTGATTCCCCCTGACAGGCACATTAACTTTCAGAATGACATTTACTAGGTCTGTGGATGTGAGGCTTCTGCGCTATCATTTGGTTCTTGTGACAACTAAGTTAAAACCGAAATATAGAAAAGAGTAGCTGTTATGACAATTTTGCATCAGTTTTACAATTACTTGACTTTATAAGGTTAAAGATTGCTTTTCTTACACCAATAATTTGCAACAATAATCTTTGAGTAAAAATTTGGCCTGTACCACTGAAAAGTTGGAATAAAATTCTAGAAGAATCCGAATAAATCGCTAGTATACTTGGCTCCTTTACATGTTAATCGCCTTTTAACTTGTGTTGGTCCCTTTAACGACATTCATAAAATCACAAATACATCGCAAAATGTTAAAATTAAAATTAATTCGAATCGTTAACTCGACGGATAACTCGATCTTTAACTAAATTTGACTGGTTTCAAATTCCCATTCGATTCTCCAACCTTACTCAAGTCAAAAGTTGTATCCCGGATAAGTCAGACACACCAGCACAAGGTAATAAGAGATATGTGCTTCAAAAATCCCAAGTTATGACGAATTTACTGTCCATGGCAGATAATGTACACCATGAATTTAGTAACAATAACCAGCCGGAGGTTTTTACCCATTTGTTCCAAACAACTACATAGATATTAACCTCGACAGGACAGTAACAAACTGATTCTCTACTCATGGCCACAACAAATATCAAAATAGACCTATGACTAACAAAGGTATAAACGTTCGAAAAAGATACCTGATGAAATTCGATGGTTCCATTCTAGTCAAAACTAATACAAATCATTATTTAAAGAACTCCATTCCATTACTCTTATCCTGCCAAATTCAATAACAATCGTTCATGTATGTATTGTAAAATTCTACTTTCTATAATTTAGAAATGTCCCGGCCAGATAACCACCCGGTTGGTATTTCTCAATGTACCAGTAAAGTTGGTCATTGTATTTCTTCCCTGTTCGTATATCAACCTAGAATTCCTTCCCGTTTAAGTGTAGTTAGATAGCCCAGTCAGTGCCATTTGCCTATTGCAAGAAACCTAGAATTCCGTCATTTATGAATTTACGTGCCAGTGTGATTCTGGCTACGTAGGACGCACAACCCAAAGATTGGGGGACAGGATAAAACAGCATGTTCCTTCCAACATACGAAACAAAACTGCCCCTCAAAGAGAACAGCCTTCTCGATCTTGTAGGTCTAGAAACACTGTTAAAACAAGTGATTCTGCCATTGGTTAACATCTTTTAGATAACCCAGATAGTGCAAAACTCTGTAATGACGACATGTTTCGGATAATTGGCAGAGCCCGGTCGTCCTTCCATCTAGCAGTTTTGGAGTCAATCTACATAAAAACGAAAAAGCCGCCATTGTGTAGACAAAAAGAGTTCGTTTTCTCTCTTGGACTCCATTGGTAATTTTTCTTTAGGCTCACGGCACTGATTGGTCAACTATACCGGTCTTGTGCTTGCGTTTTTCTGATTGGCCTATTTTGATCCACAACTGGGTATAAATTTTTGCATCGTGTTTTTTCGGAACCTATTCTGACGTTTTATGCTCTGAGGAGTGTCAGACGAAAAAGCTTTTAGTATGTCGTAAAATGTTTGCTTTTTTCAAAGCCATTTTGAAACCTAGAATTAGAGTCCTAAGTTGAAAAGGAAGTCTTTCAGTTTACACAATAGGTTTTTTTTTCATTTTTATGCAGATAGATTCTAAAACTTCTAGATGGAACCTTTTCTAGATTTTCATATAAAAATTGCTGTTACGAAAACAAACCGTTGAGATAATTGCACAGCAGCAACGTTTCTACATTCCTAGTAAAAAGTCCTTGCGATAGTTTTCGAAAATAAACAACTCTTAATCCGAAATGAAATTTTGCTCTTGCATATCCTGATCATATAGGACAGCAACCTGGTTTTAGAAGAGAAATTTCAAACAATTTGACAATTTTCGACAAAGCCAGAGCGTTACTTATTTCCTGATATTCTAATGCACTCAAATTCATAGACGAGACCATCATGCCACACTTTATCGAAGGCCTTAAACAGGTTTCTAGAAGAAACCATGACTGCACGAGTTCCCTTATTTGAAGTTTCACGGTATGCACAGTATGGTATATCATAAGGGTGACATACAAAAGCTGATTGATCGATGAGTCACCTGGAAGGAATCAATATCGTTGGAAAGTCAGTAACCAATTTTCTGTGAGACGAGGGTAGATTACATAAAATGACAGCAATTCAAAAATTTTGCCAAAAATTGGCGGCAATGAAACAGGCCTATAGATTCTTTTGCACTGCCTGTTACCCTTTCTGTGAATTAGAATGATGGAAAGACATCTTCAAGATTGATTAACATCCAGATTTAGCTCGTCTAATTATCTACAGTATGGCTTAAAATCTTTGTAGTTGGTAGCTTTAGCAGTATGTTTGCAAGAACACCAACACCTAACATTGTCTATAAACTTCATATCTATACAATAAATTTGAGCAGATGTAAAGCGTGGCAAGGCAGGCCTATTTATAAACTGAACTTCTGGATGATGCCAGAAATCAAGTAATCTCAAACGCAGCGCCTAATTAAAAGTCGATTGCCTACTTTAATCAAAGCTTTGTTTGTTTTTTCTGTTGAAATAGCCAGTGCAAAATCATGTAACTTGGTGTGTTGACCAAATTTTCCTTCAGTTTTGACTTTTTCATAATTAGGAGATCAAAGGAAACTAGGTTGTAATTATACTCAGTCATTTGTGACAATGATTTTTTGCTGTTATATGCTAACAAGGTGCTTCAAAATTATATATGAAAGATATACATAGTTCATGTGTCAGAAAAACAGGGGGAAAACACAGCTGATAGATAAAAACTCACATTAAAATCAGATCCGGGGTTTCTATTCGTTTTATTTCGCAAAAAGAAAATCTGAGTTCATCATACGAGCGTATAGTCTTCACGCTGTAAAGAGCCACAGCAAAGAGATGTGGCCTGCAGACTAAGCCACTTGAAGAATAGTTCGGACAAAATTCAGTTGTACGTGCCAAGCAAAAATAAATAAACTGTTTACACCGTATCTATTGACAATCAATACCAACTTCTCTGAAACATCGACTGTGTTAATGATGCAAGAAAGCAACGGAATGTGGTAGAGAAATTTTATCATGAAGTAAAAAGGAATGAAAAAAGAGATGATCCGATCTTTTAGTCTTCAAAGAATCTACTGAACCAAACTTGCCAATGGAAATACAACACTTCTATGCCTTTGTGGTGATAGGTGTGACGGGCGTTGCCTTGAATGCCCTGGAAATGATCATTATTATGAAAGGAATGCAATGCCGAGTGCCATTTCAAATGTCGGTGCTGAGTCTGGCAGTGGCTGATTTGCTAACATCCTTAACGGTCTTCATTTCCTCTGTCTTGATATTGTCACTGAAAATAGGTAGCCAAGATTATAACATGACAGCAGTTGTTTACTTACATGTAGTAATCTTCAGCTCAATATCAAGCCAACTACACGTAATTCTGATAACAGTTCAGCGACTGATTGCTGTACTATTCCCATTCAGCTGTAAGCATATCATGACGTCATTTCGATGTGGTCTACTACTTACATTGATCTGGATAATATCGTTAACTGTTACAGGTGTAATGAAGTATATGCCTTATGTTATAAACGTCTTGACAGTAGTAAGTGCCGTTATGATCGCCCTTTCATATGCCTTGATAGTATATCGCATCCGAAATCGTCCCGTTGTGCCAAATGGAGAATTAACGACCGGTTTCGAACTTATTATATACTCTGGAATTCTTTTCATCCTTTTCGTTGCATGCTATTTTCCGTTTGTTTGCTTTACATTCATCAACGGTCACAATAACGAAAAACCTCATCCAGTGGTAACTTATTATATGTATTGGCTTAATATGGTAACAAACCCGCTGGTATATTTTCTGTTCAAAGTGTTTAAAGGTAGTGCTGGAAAGCTTTGTAAGACCCATCTAACTGCAGGTACTAATGCCTCTTCTCCTTCACAATAAAACACAATTATTTTCATGATTGGATCCGAAGTCTTATTTAATTTGAAGTTCGGTTTTAACGTACAAAGACCTTCAATATTCTGTTTTCTGGTAAGATGGTGATGTAAATGGCGCTGGAGAACATGCATACAAAGAGAGTCACCGTTGCTCATTCACTTGAGGAGCGAAGATGGATTTTTATTTCTTCCTTTTCGTTGCAAAGTGTTTCAGTACAAGAACAAACATGTCTAAATTGATCTGGGACAGGTTAAGGAAATAAACAGTAAAGGATGCAGATATGACGCTTGTTGCACTTGATACATCAGCATTGGTATTTCTGATAACGAACTAAAACAAGCTCTGACTGTTATTTGAAAGGGTATTTGTTTACGAAGTATGGCTGTCTGCAGTGAATTGAAAAATATTTGGCATTGACTTAACATTCCATGCACAAAATTCCAATCGTTTTAATTGATTTCCACTCTGACTTGTTTTAACATTTTGGCAATTATTGTCAGTGAGAACACATTAGCAATGTGTTTACATGTAAAGATATACTTTTGTTGAACTTTGAAGAGTCTCTGTATTCATTTCGCAATTTCATCAGCGTTTTTTATCAGTATGCATGCATTGAACTCTGCCTTAGTGATTTGCCATCTGCAGCTTTCCTGCCAATTTCGGCTCTGGTTCGGCTCGTCAGCGTAAATTCAAACAGTCGAGATAAAGAAATAGCTAGGTTCATTTCAACTCTTTAAAAATAATTCGGGAAGCTCGCAAGCACCATATTCACCCTGAATGTTTTAATTAGTATCTTTGTTTACGATTTTGTTACTTACAACAAACGAGAAATTTCTTGACGTTACTGGTATTCAGGACAATTAATCATAATCCCAATATAGATTTCCCTAATTCGAAACGGATAGGCTTTCCGTTACACTAGAACTGTACTATCCGTATCAAAATCCGATTCGGTTAGCCGTGCAACTTTTGATCGAACAAAAGTTCTGTTATGGAAACTACAATTTTAGTGCCAAGCCAAGCTTCACTTTTCACGACAGTGCTCCATGTGCTCGGTAGCACATTCTTACCTCTTATTGATTAGAGCACGTCAAGGATCCCTCACTTAAGGAGGATTCTTAAAAATATATCTAGGAAAAAGTGTGCGCAAATTTTGGTAAAGGTCTGGAAAAACAAGCACTGGATGGGATGATTTGATCAATGATATTGTAGTGCCAGAACAATTGATTAAATATTTGCTAATGTGCAAGAAGAGTTTGAACTGAAGCCATTCATTGAGAAAAATCTGAAAATCTGATGAATCTGTACTCTTGCGAACTTGATGTCTATCTATATCAAAAGTTGTACGGCACTGTGTAACCAAGGTTGTACGGCACAGTATAGTGGTCAAATCTTGATTGGCTGAGAGCTTGCGCTAAATTACGTGACCTCTCTCGCCGCTGAGCCAATCAAAGCTCGGAAAGTGTAAACAAACTTAGGCCAAAGCCGAATATTGGGCATTTTTACCACCCTCCATTAAAAAAACCAAATGTTAGGGAACACAGTCTGACCAAACAATGCAATGGGATCAACAACAAATAGAGCAATGGCTGAAAAGACATCTGGACGATTGAATACTTCTTTGATAAACTGGATAAGATTCATTTGTCAGTAGAAGTCTTTTGTCAGTGTCAGTGCAGGCCTGTTACAAAAATTGTATCCAGATGCAATTCCTTTAGTCAGCTACAGTAAGGATTAAAGCTGTCATCTTGAATTGTGGTTTAGTTTGTTTTATTTTTGAAGGGCAGCAGCAGTGGCGTGGTGGCCGGGAAGGGGACATATCGGTCATAAATTTGAGCAAATGTAGAGCATGGCAGGACTGGGCTGCGTATAAACTGAACACCTGTATTATGTCATCTGGACAAGTGGATTACCAAAAATTATGTCATCCCAAAGGCAGCGATCTATTAAAAGTCGATGGGTAACCAAAATTAAAACTTTGTATTTAATTCTGTTAACAAAACAAAACCAATACAGAATGCCTAAATAAACGTGTGGT